GAGTGCACGTGGTACCAGTGTTTTCGTGGCGTTCAAATATTAGTTGCTATCTTGACTATCTCATACATGTAAAAATTCTGTGTCTGTAGTTTCCATCCTTAAATTCAACCAATGTACTACTTTAAAAAAAAACGGCTGGGCGCAGCGGCTCCAGCACTTGGGGAGGCTGAGGTGGGCTGATGATGAGGTCAGGAGCTTGAGACCATCCTGGCTAACGTGGTGAAGCCCTGTCTTTACTAAAAATACAACATAGTAGCCGGGTGTGGTGGCGCATGCCTGTAGTCCCAGGTACTCGGGAGGCTGAGACAGGAGAATTGCTTGAACCCAGCAGGCGGAGGTTGCAATGAGCCAAGATCCTGCCACTGCACTCCAGCCTGGGTGACAGAGCAAGATCCGTCTCAAAACAAAAACGGACACAAACAAAAGAAAGTTCTCCCTTTTCTGTAAAAGAGCATGCCTGTGTGTGGCTGGCTGCATGCACACAGTTCAGGTGCCTGTTTCCATTTTTGCTGCGCAAAGCAATGGATGATTGTGTAGTCAGGAAATCAGACACACCTTCATTTTCTGCTTGGTGGTTCTGGGTCTGGGATGATACTGTTTCATCATTACTCTAGAGCAGGGGTCGACAGACTTCTTACACAAAGGACCACGTAGCAAGTATGTTTGGCCACGTGGGCCACGTAGCCTGGTTAGAATCACTTACTTTTATTATAGCACAAAAGTAGCCTCAGACACTATGTAAACAAACAGATGTGGCTGTGTTTTAATAAAACTTTATTTACAAGAGCGGCAGTGTGGTGGTTGGCACCTGCAGGGCCCTGGCTGGTCAGCCCCTGTGCTGGAGTGATACACACTCCTTCATGTCTTCAACTCATTACTAATTAAGATACATTCATTAGCCTGTTCATTTTGTCGTTTTTTCATGTCTAATGAAAGCACTGACTGATTTTAAAAAGATGTTTTTCTAAAAGTCTTTTTTTTTTTTTGGACACAGGGTGTCCCTTTGTTGCCCAGGCTAAAGTGCATTGGCGCAATTTTGGCTCCCTGCAAACTCCCCCTCCAGGGCTCAAGCAGTTCTGCTGCCTCACCTCCTGAGTAGCTGGGATTACAGGTGCCTGCCGCCATAGGCTGGCTAATTTTTGCATTTTTAGTAGAGATGGGGTTTTGCCATATTGGCCGGGCTGGTCTCAAACTCCCAACCTCAGGTGATCTGACTGCCTTGGCCTCCACCTGACCCCCCCCACCTCCCTCCATCCCTCCCGCCTGGCTCTGGGGTGCAGGTGGCCAGCGGCCCTGTCTCTTCTTCCTCTTCTCTTGCTCTCACTTCAGTCCTGATGCAAAGGATGGGCTAAGTTTGTGCTGACCGTTCCCTCCAAAGATTCCGAGTTCATCCGACACTTTGCAGCCTTTAGTACCTGCCGCTTCTGCCCCCGGCCCTCCCTCACTTAGTTGTCTTCGCTCCAAGTTCATCATGAGGCTGGAAAAGCTGCAGCTTTCTGTACACCACTTTTCACTCCCTCGAGGACCTCTTTTATAGTCCACAGAGGCCCACCTGAGGGGCTTCCAGCAGCTCCACTGGCCGCTTTCCACAGGGAGAGTGAGGACGCTGGTTGCTAGGCAACACACGTGCGGCTGCTGCTTTCCACAACGTAGACTTGAAAAAATAGCCGTCAACATTTTACCATATGATGGAGTCATGAGTGGGGAGTCGCGGAAATGCACAGGGCAGACAGTTGGATGTCACCATGTTCTATCTAAATTTTGCCTTTGGTATGGCTTCCTGGAGAATGTCACGTGGAGAGTCCGGGGATGTGCCTTCAGCTGTGTGCAGTGGGTTAATAGTCCTCATCATTTGCAGATTCTGTATGTGCGAATTCACCTATTCACTGAAATATATTTGGGAACCCCAAAACCAATATAGTGGTTTCACAGTCATTCTCGGACACGGGCAGAGGGGGAGACTTTGCGTGGCCGGATGCACGCGTTCCCCACCGCCCCCCACCCCGGGCAGAGCTCTGCCTTCACTGTCGGCTCTCATACCATGCATACCTGTCCTTTTTGCAGTCTCTTTAGTGCTGTTTTTTTTTTTTTCCCATATTTTTGTGCTTTCTGATGGTCATTTTGGTGTAAATGGCCCCCAAAATGGTGCTGATGTCCTATTCAGGCTCCCTAAGCACAAGAAGATGGAATGTGCCTTCCAGAGAAAGTACACGTGTTAGATAAGCTGCTTTCAGGCGTGAGCTACAGCGCTCGTGGGAATCCAGTGTTAATGAATCAAGAATACAGCACACCCAGAAAAAGGAAGAGGCAGGACACGGGGCAACCAGTTTGATATCACAGTGGTACAGCTTTTGATCCTGTCTTTGCTGTGTTTTTTGGGGACTTACACAGGGACACGTGGTGATAAAGGGCATGTGCCTTCGGCCAGTCCATATGTGGGGCCACTCTGGAAAGTGCTAAGGTAACAGAGTACATGGTGGAGCCGTGGAAGAGAGGAAAAATAGCTGAATTTGTGGACTCATCAGATGACGAGAGAATGTAATGTCTTCACTAGCATTGTTGTAAGGCTTCCAGCCTTACAACAAAGAAATTTACCCAAGGGCAGGAAGGTGTTAAATGCATCTTGGCTGGTATTTTAGAGAAAGGCTGAATATAATTCATTACTTTGAAGAAAATGTTAAATACTGCATTTCACTAACAAGGTTATGTATTGACCAATGGAAAAAACTTGTGTCATCAGAGGTTCACAGAAACCTAAACCATATATTAGGTTGGTGCAAAAGTAATTAAAAAGGGCTGGGCACAGTGGCTCACACCTGTAATCCCAACACTTTGGGAGGCCGAGGAGGGTGGATCACCTGAGGTCAGGATTTCAAGACCAGCCTGACCAACATGGTGAAACGCTGTCTCTACTAAAATACAAAAAAATGAGCCACGTGTGGTGGTGGGTGCCTATAGTCCCAGCTACTCGGGAGGCCGAGGCAGGAGAATCGCCTGAACCCAGGAGGTGGAGGTTGCAGTAAGCCAAGATCGTGCCACTGCACTCCAGCCTGGGCTACAGAGCAAGACTTTGTCTCAGGAAGAAAAAGAAAAGTAACTAAAAATGGCAAAAACTGCAATTACTTTTGCACCAAACTTTATCTCCCCTAAGAACAATGGCCCACTATTTACAAATTCAACGTTCACAAATACAGAACACAGCTACCATGCGTAACAAGCGCTATGTATGATCACAACCGATCTGAACAGGACTCATCCTCCACCTCCCACATTGAAGACAGAGCCCAAGATGCATCCAGGTGTGGTGTGTCTGCTGAGAATGTGTGCCAGGAATGGGACCTGGCTTCCTCGTCGAGTGCTGGTGTCCATGAATTTCTGCTGGATTAGATGCGTTTTGAAGGGAGTTAAATGTTCACGGCTCCTGCTCCCTCTCCTCTGTACCCTCTACCTCACCACTTTCTCTTTATTTTGAGACAGAGTCTCGCTCTATCACCCAGGCTGGAGTGCAGTGGCATGATCTCTGCTCACTGCAACCTCAGCTCCTGCGTTCAACTGATTCTCTGCCTCAGCCTCCTGAGTAGCTGGGACTACAGACATGCACCACCATGTCTGGCTGATTTTTTGTATTTTTAGTAGAGGTGGGGTTTCACCATGCTGGCCAGGCCGGTCTCAAACTTCTGACCTCATAATCCACCCACCCCCGCCTCCCAAAGTGCTAGGATTACAGGCGTGAGCCACCAGCCTGGCCAACCTCACCACTTTCATCACTGGTCATTTTGCTTGAAGGGAAGCCCTGGGATATTCATAGATTGCTCTGGAACTGAACCATAGTGAGCTCAGTGTCTCCAAACACACACCTTAATGGGTCCCAAATGGGAAGGAAAAACTATTGCTCTTACACCACAGTCTTCCCTGCCCGAGGCCAGATGCAGGTCACGTGTGAAATGGTCTGCTCTGCTGACAGTGGCCTGAGTCTCCCACACTGTATGCTGAGCCGGGTGATCCTCTCCAGGGAGCTCTGCAGGGGATGGATGACGAGACAGGAACATGGGGACAAATTCCTCTCCTCTGGCATTGCAGACACAGCCTAGAGATACGAGTGTGGCACGATACATAGGCGACCTCAGCCTTTAGATCAGGGAACACGCCAGAGATGCAGGGACATCCGGCAGCAGCTGAGAGTCCGAGTGCTGCTGGGGAGCTAAGCAGAGGCCTTTAAAAGCAAGGTGGGAAAAACGTTGGGACGAGTGTAGGAATAGAAAAGCAGCCATTCCTCCAGGTCAGTTCAAAGACCTAGAAACGCTCCCTGCAAACCCCTGGGCCTCGTGATCACCACTCACATCCCTGGCAGAGTCCCCGGAGGAGGCCTTTCTAGAGGAAGGCTGCTTTCTCTTGCCGGTTGTGACTGCTGGGGCCTCTCTCCGTGTTTCTCCCTGATCTTCAGGACTGTAAATGCCTTTTCCTTCACTGCTCTTAGGTGCAAATATGTGAGTTAAAGGGCATTGCCCCTGAAGTAGCTGCAGCTTCCTGGCTGAAGGAACTTTGCAGGTATTAGAAACACACAGGTCTTCAGTCCAAGTTCATGACAAGGGGACTACTTTTTGTGGCAAGGATCGCCTGTGTGCAGAACTTCCTGGAGCAGGCCACATGTGCCTGGAGCGCGCCAGTCACATCACAGGCCACTTCTCCTGTCCCCTCCTCTCGCTTCTATTCCCAGGCCTCATTATGTGTCATGTCACAGGCGCACACGCACAGGCACCCCCGTCAAAGCCAGGACGGTGGTGCCAGGGGACATGCTCGGCATGAATTCCATCTTGGAGTTAGAAGCACTTGCTCAGCGCTTGCCAACTACAAATAGCCCCGTGCTGGAAAATGATGCTGATTAGCATGCCATTAAAAAGGGGGGGCCACAAAATGGCCGTGGACAGGCCTGAAGCCCTGCCCTGGCAGACGCAGGGAGACACGGGCACTAATGCAGCCTGATTCACTTTGTTTGGCAGAGAGAGCAAGCTCGCCATGCTGCTGCGGGAGTCTCTGGGGAACATGAACTGCCGCACCACCATGATCGCGCACATCTCGGCCGCAGCCGGGAACTACGCGGAGACCCTGTCCACCATCCAGATCGCGTCGAGAGTCTTGAGGATGAAGAAAAAGAAGACAAAGGTAAGGAGCTCGAAGTGGGGTGGGGTGGGTGAGAGAGCCTTTGGAGCCTTGCCCCAGGGCTCCGTCAGAAGCAGCCAAGTCAACGCTGCCAGGCCCTCAGCATCAGGACACGTGGTTCGGTGTCCACCCTGGGGCAGGGAAACCTTTGGGCTGATGGAAAGTCATGTCCACTCCCCACACCTGGTGCTGGCCCTGGTCACCCAGCCTAGACCCCTGAGTGGAAGTACTCAGTCCACTGAGAGAGTATAAATGGATTGCGACTTTGAGATGAGACATGTGGGAGGGATGGGAAATCTTCTGTCTTTCTCATGCACTGCCTCGGTCCTCTGAAGATGGAGACTGTGTCCTTCAAGGGACTGGCTCCAAAGACGACCCCGAACTCCCTGCTCACAGGGCCCTCCTCCTCCTCTGCATGTCTGGGAGCCTCCGCCTGGCTGCTGGTGTTGTCCTGGTCATTCAGTGGTTTCTGGATGATTAGTGAGTCTGCTAGAAATCCTGGGGCTCATTTTCTCAGGCAGAAGCAAAGCTAGGACGGTGGTGGTGTGGCAAATGTTGGAGGAAACCATCATGATCGTGTCCACTCAGAGGCGGGGGCCGCTGCTGACGTATGTGTGGGCCTTTTTTTCCCTTCCACGTTTTGTACCTTTTTTATTTTTCCATAGTGCTTCCTAACCAGTGTTCCACGGTACAGGCTGCCAGAAGTTGGTGACCCTGAAGCCCTTAGTGGATCAGGCAGGGCCTGGAGGGTCACCTCCTTTTCCAAGCAGCCTCTGTTTCCCCATGCCCTGCAGGGATTCTCCTTCACTAATGCAGTGGTGATGTGAGACTGGGCGCACTGGCGTGGCAACCCGAGTGGCCCATATGCAGAGGCCAACCAGGGTGGCCATCAGTAGCCTGTGTCCGTCCGGGCCCTCCACCACTTGCCACACAAAGCTGGGTTCCCAGGGAAACTGCTTTGGAAGAGTCGCCACATTAACAGCTCTCTCACTCACAGTACACGTCCAGCTCCTCTGGGGGCGAGAGCTCCTGTGAAGAAGGCCGCATGCGCAGGCCCACCCAGCTGAGACCCTTCCACACCAGGGCCACAGGGGACCCGGACTTCCCCATCGCCCACCTGTCCAGCGACCCCGACTACTCCTCCAGCAGCGAGCAGTCCTGCGACACTGTCATCTACATCGGGCCCAATGGCACAGCCCTGTCGGACAAGGAGCTCACTGACAATGAGGGCCCCCCCGACTTTGTCCCTATTGTGCCAGCCCTGCAGAAGACCCGGGGTGACAGCCGGCCTGCAGAGGCAGGAGAGGCTGCGGCCAGCAAGTCAGAAAGGGACTGCCTGAAGTGCAACACATTTGCCGAGCTACAGGAGAGGCTGGACTGCATCGACGGCAGCGAGGAGCCCAGCAAGTTTCCTTTCGAAGAACTGCCTGCTCAGTTTGTGGCAGAGTTGGCCAGCAGAGCCCTGCCGTTAAGCCAAGCAGCTGGGGCAAGCCCACTCTCTGAGTCTGATAGGGAAGATAATGGGTCCGAAGGTCAGCTGACTGACAGAGAAGGCCCTGAAAATCTGGCCTCCAAGATGCAGAGGAGTCACTCACCAGTGCCCGCCTCAGCACCCACCCATAGCCCCAGCCCAGCCTCGCCCAGGAGCATCCCGGGCAGCAGCAGCCAGCACAGCACCTCCCCACTCGTGCAGAGCCCCAGCCTGCAGAGCAGCCGGGAGAGCCTGAACTCCTGCAGCTTCATGGAAGGCAAGCCCAGGCCCATGGGCTCCCCACGGCTGGGCATTGCCAGCCTGTCCAAGACCTCAGAGTACAAGCCACCCAGCTCTCCTTCCCAGAGGTGCAAAGTCTACACCCAGAAGGGGGTCCTGCCATCTCCCGCCCCCCTGCCTCCGTCAAGCAAGGATTCTGGCATGGTGTATAGTGAGTCCTTGCTGCAGCCCGAGGTGCGTACACCCCCGGTCGGAATGAGTCCCCAGGTTTTGAAAAAGTCCATGTCTGCTGGAAGCGAAGGGTTCCCAGAAACTCCCGTGAATGATGAGCCTCAAGCAGTGACTCCTCCAGATTCCAAGAAGGAGACCCTGAGCACCACGATGGTGACTGTGCAGCAGCCGCTGGAGCTGAACGGTGAGGATGAGCTGGTGTTCACGCTGGTGGAGGAGCTGACCATCAGCGGGGTCCTGGACAGCGGCCGCCCCACCAGCATCATCAGCTTCAACAGCGACTGCTCCGTGCAGGCCCTGGCCTCAGGCTCGCGGCCCGTCAGCATCATCAGCAGCATCAGCGAGGACCTGGAGTGCTACTCCAGCATGGCCCCGGTCTCTGAGGTCAGCATCACACAGTTCTTGCCCCTCCCAAAGATGAGCCTGGATGAGAAGGCCCAGGAGGCAGGGAGCAGACGCTCTTCCATCAGCTCCTGGCTGAGCGAGATGAGCGTGGGCAGTGAAGGCGAGCAGTCGTGCCACAGTTTCATAGCCCAGACGTGTTTTGGGCACGGGGAGGCAATGGCGGAACCCGCAGCCTCGGAGTTTGTCAGCAGCATCCAGAACACGGCTGTGGTGTGCAGAGAGAAGCCCAAGGCCGGCCCCGACAACTTGCTTATCCTGTCTGAGATGGGGGGTGACTCCTTGAACAAAGCAACCCCCATCAAAGGCTGCAAAATATCCACCCTGGGCAAGGCCATGGTCACCATCTCCAACACGGCGAATCTCAGCAGCTGCGAGGGGTACATCCCCATGAAGACCAATATCACTGTTTACCCCTGCCTTGCCATGAGCCCCCGGAGCATCCAAGAGCCCGAGGCTGCCACTGCCACCCCCAAAGCAGGTCCCACATCAGCCCAGTCCCAGGAGAGTAAGGAAAGCAGTGCAAAGAAAGAAATGAAGTTTGAGGACCCCTGGCTGAAACGAGAAGTGGAAGTAAAAAAAGAGAATGCTCATCCCAATGAAGATGAGACTATGTGTGAGAGCGCCATGGGTCCCTTGAAGGCCGAGCCCAGGACAGAGCAGGAGCAGGACAGAAAGCCCAGCCCAGGCGACAGGCTCAGCAGCAGCAGCGGGGAGGTGTCGGCGTCCCCTGGCACCGACAGCTTCAGGAGGGTCGTGGATGGATGTGAGATGGCCCTGCCTGGTTTGGCCACCCAGAGCCCCGTGTATGCCAACAGAAGTGTCAAGTCCAGCAGCCTTCCTAGGGCATTTCAGAAGGCCAGCCGGCAGGAGGAGCCCGACAGCCTCTTCTATTACTGTGCTGCTGAGACCAGCGGGGTGGGCCCAGTCCCCGGCACGCAGCCCTCCAAGGCTACCCTGGAGAGGAAGGTGGCTTCCCCTAAGCACTGTGTCCTGGCTCGGCCCAAAGGCACTCCCCCTCTGCCCCCTGTCCGAAAGTCCAGCCTGGACCAGAAGAACCGGGCCAGCCCCCAGCACAGTGCCAGCAGCAGCGGCACCAGCAGCCCCCTGAACCAGCCAGCCGCCTTCCCAGCGGGCCTCCCAGATGAGCCCAGCGGCAAGATGAAGGATGCCAGCAGCAGCAGCAAGCTCTTCAGTGCCAAGCTGGAGCAGCTGGCCAGCAGGACCAACTCTCTGGGCAGGTCGACCGTCAGCCACTATGAATGCCTCTCCCTGGAGCGGACCGAGAGCCTGTCCTCCGTGAGCTCCCGGCTGCACGCAGGCAAGGACAGTACCATGCCCCGCGCGGGGAGGACCCTGGGCCGCGGCGCAGGGACGTCGCCCCCCAGCTCCTCCGCCGGGGCCTCGCCCAAGGCCAGCCAGTCCAAGGTCTCCGCCGTGAGCAAACTCCTCCTGGCCAGCCCCAAGGCGCGCAGCCTGTCCACCTCCACCACCAGGACCCTCAGCTTCTCCACCAAGTCTCTGCCTCAGTCGGTGGGGCAGAGCCCCGGCGCACCACCGGGCGGGAAGCACATGTCCTGGTCCACGCAGTCGCTCAGCAGGACCCGCAGCTCGGGCCTGGCCTCCAAGCTGCCCCTGCGCGCCGTCAACGGGCGCATCTCGGAGCTGCTGCAGGGCGGCGCGGGCGCACGTGGCGGTGCCCCGGCGGGGGACCGGCCCGAGGACAGGCCCGCGGCCGCGCAGCTGCTGCCGTCGCCCTACAGCAAGATCACGCCCCCGAGGAGGCCGCACCGCTGCAGCAGCGGCCACGGGAGCGACAACAGCAGCGTGCTGAGCGGGGAGCTCCCGCCGGCCATGGGGAAGACGGCCCTGTTCTACCACAGCGGTGGCAGCAGTGGCTACGAGAGCATGATGCGGGACAGCGAGGCCACCGGGAGCGCGTCCTCAGCGCAGGACTCCACCAGCGAGCACAGCGGCTCCGTGGGCGGGCGCTGCCGCAGCCTCAAAGCCCCAAAGAAGCGGCCCAATTCAGGTAGGCAGTGGGGCAGGGCCGTGGGCGGGGAGGGCACGGGCGGGCGCGGGCCGTGGACGGGAAGGGCAGTGGGTGGGCGAGCTGCCTGAAGCCCCTGCCAGGCTGGCCCGTGGTGAGGGGGCGTCCGGTGGGATCCAGGCCTGGCCTTTCCTTTCACGCGGGCTCCCTGGGGATAGCGCCTGGAGCGTGTCTCTGTGAGTAACTGCCCTTGTGCTGTGCCCTCCTCAGCCTTAAGGCTGTGAATCTCTTGGTGCATAGCAGGGTGGAAAGGCGGGGGCGGGAGGCGGACAGCATGACCCACACCTGCTCGCTGTGGGGAAGACTGGCTCCCCCACCTCCATTACCTCACCCCGTGCCCCTCTGCTCAACAACCAAGAGTCCTGTGGACTGTTTGGAGCCTGTGGAAGGATGTGGTGAGGGAGACTACCCTCATGGCCTGGTGGCTACAGAAGCCCCTTGAGTAAGGCTGGTGCTGGTCTGTGAGACTCTGGCGGCCTCTCTCAGGGATGTGGGATCATGCGGTTTGTCTCATTCAAAGCCCAGTGGGTGAGGCCCATTCTCCAACCCCACCCCAAACATACTTGTGGACAGTCACGTTTGCACACCTGCCACAGGGTCTGCCATGCCCCTCCTCCCCCCAACAAACCATGTACCCAAAATGTATGATTTTGGAGAAAGCCTTTGCCATTTCTCTTTTTTCTTTTATTTTGTTTTTGGAATGGAGTCTCACTATTGCCCAGGCTGGAGCGCAATGGTGTGATCTTATCTCACTGCAACCTCCACCTCCCAAGTTCAAGCGATTCTCCTTAGCCTCACAATTAGCTGGGGTTCCAGGCGTGTGCCACCAAGCCTGGCTAATTTTCATATTTTTAGTAGAGACGAGGTTTCACCATGTTGGCCAGGCTAGTCTCGAACTCCTGACCTCAAGTGATCTGCCCGTCTCAGCCTCCCAAAGTGCTGGGATTACAGGCATGAGCCACCACGCCCAGGCAGTCTTTGCCATTTTAAGAATCTCCTATCAAAAGGCACATACTCCAGCAGAACTAATGTATAAAGCCCACTGCCTTATTACTTGGAGTTTTGGGTGGCACGTGACAGTTAAGTTATGATGGACAAGGAGAAGAGGACCCAGGTCAGAGCTGGTGGCCCTGGAAGTCATGGGATAGGTGAATGAAAGGATGGTAAGGGGAGAAAAAGACAGAGGCAAGAAGTACCAGGAACAACGGATGCCAGGGCCCTGCAGGGCTGGTGCCTGCAGCATGCTGGGAAGTAAAGGATGGGGTGAGACACAGATGTGGAGCCTCCCACAGGCTTGTTCTCTCAGTCACGGGCCTGCTTTTTCCTGTTCTCCCATCACAGGCCAGCACAAACTCTGGAATGTTCCAACACAAATCTAAGGGCTGTGGCCAAGTGCACATTGTAAACCATTCATCTTCCTGGAATCAAAGAAACCCACCTCCAGGGACCGTGCAGTTAGGCAGATGTGGTTTTGCGATATAGACAGCCCGGTCCACAGAACTCAGCTCTGGGGGTGTTAGGCTCTAAGAGTGGTAGGGAATCATCATGGCTCTCAGTACCTTCACATCTTTATTTCCCAGGTGCAGCATGCTTCAGTCTTTGATACACTTTGACTCTGTTTCACTTCACCCCTCAGTCTCAGCAACAGACCTTAGCGCAGAACACCATCTAAGGCAAGTTGAAAAGCCATTCCGTGTAACCTAGCGGCTGCTGTGTCTTATGGCCAGGGCCCAGGGCACTGAAACGTATTGATAATAGTAAAAATAACAAGCAGGAAAAAATGCTCTGGCCTTCCCAGTACCTGGTTAAAGAACACTTGTTCTCAGCATCTACACAGCCTCGGTCTTCAGAGTCCAGGTGACTGTGCGGCGTTCGCTGCGTGGTGACGTGTATCTCTCTTACAGAGTGCTTTTATGCACTCTGACTTAGTGCCTTGAGTCTACTGATCCATTTCATTATTTCAATGGCTTTCACAGTTGTTTTTTTTTCTTTTTCAAGACTTTTCATTTTTGGTTTGGTGGTTACACTGGAGTAAAGGGGAAGAAAATGGTGAAAAACCAAACGTGTGAAGTAACTGTTTGGTGAGCAGGCAGCAGGCTCTGCGCATGTCCTTGCTCTGGGCTAAGTGCTTTCATGCATGCGGTCCTCCAGGAGCCTCTAGTTAGGTAAGGCTGGTGGAGAAAAATAGTGTCAAAGGAAAAGGCCAGGGTAGGGCTAGAAATGGAACCTCACGTGGCGCGCCGAGAGCAGGAGCCTTCACGACGGCTGCTGTAGGTCCAGCGCTCCGTGATGGATGCGGCAGTGGAGATGCGCTTGGTTCAGGTTAGGTGACCTTGTCTGGCTTATTTATGATTATTATTAAGAGAAGTGGTGGCTGTCAGACATGATGAGCATAAATCAAAAGCAGCTTCTTTAAGACATGTTATAAAACTCCTCCAAGGAAACCCCTAACTACATGGCCAGAGTTTACAATGACGAGAGACGCTGAGAGCTGGAGAGGAGACGTCTTTTATCCGAGATGGCTTTTGAGTTTGGGAAATTGTACTGCTTTTGTTATTTCCCCAGTAAAAATGAATGAGAATGACTGGGACAATGACCTTGAGCTCTCCGTTTCCTTTGTAGTCCATGTAAGAGCAGAAACGACTGGACATCGCGATGGTTCATCATTTTATTCTCGGAGCTCCATGCTGTTGGGCTTGTCCCATTGGCCATAGCAGCATATTAAGTTAGAAAGCAGGAGACTTAGAGTCTTGAGCCACGTGACCTTTCAGGAATAACTATCCTCTCTGAGCTTCAGTTTTCTGATGCAAGGAAAAGGAGAAGATTGGTAGGTAACAGCCACGGTCTCTGCTGCCCACATCATAGAGACTATGCAGATAATTCAAATAATATTGATGGTCATATGATATCTTTTCCTTAAAGCAATCTGTAGTCAGTGGGGTTTATCTTCAGTCGTTAAACATTGATCAGGTATCTTCTGTGCTCTCAGAGCTTGGCGATTTGAAGTTTCAGGTGTGTGGGTGGAGGCAGCCACCATAGAAGACAAGGCTGCCCTAAGAAGTTTGTCATCTAGTTGGAGAGAAAGGATGAAAAGCGTGGAATAGTTCACTCAGGGAACTGAGTGCCCGGCCCAATGCTGAGCGGCGTAGTGAAGACCCAGGTGGAGAAGGCATTGAGACAAAGCAGGATCCCGCAAGTCACGGGCTGCAGAGAAACATCGGGATTGAGTTTGGTCATGGAGGGTGCTTGCATCGGGACAGGCAGAGAGGGTGCAGGCCTTGCAGGCTGAGGCAGGAATGGGAGCACAAGCTCCAGGCAGCAAGAGCCTGGCTTGTGGGCAGCATAGTGAGATTAACTCACAGAGGGACATTCCCAAGTGTAGCAAGAGACGAGGAAACGTAAACCCAGATCTAGTTACACTTGGAACATCTGCGAACTACGAGAACAGTGCACATCATTCCACATGGTTCCATAGAACTAGGATCAGAATATATACTATATTATTGTAGTCAGGCATGGTGGTTCACGCCTGTAATTCTAACACTGTGGGAGGTGGGTGGATTGCCTGAACTTGGAGTTCGAGACCAGCCTGGGCAACACAGTGAAACCCCATCTCTACTAAAATACAAACAATTAGCCAGGAGTGGTGGTACATACCCGTAGTCCCAGCAACTTGGGAGGCTGAGGCAGGATTCCTAGAACGTGGGAGGTGGAGGTTGCAGTGTGCTGAGATTGCGCCACTTCAGTCTAGGCTGGGTGACAGAGCAAGACTCCATGTCTAAAAGATAAATAGAACACACCCTATATTATTGTAGCTGGCTGCGGGGTGTCATTGTAGGCTCTTGACCAACAGAGTGATGTGGGGAGAGAAACCGTGTTGCTTTTCTTGATGGATTTTCATTGCTCCCTCTGCAGTTCCTTGCCAGCCCCTCTGTGGTTAGCAACCTGAAATTGTGAATAGACTAAAGCCCAGAATTAGAGCGAGAGCAGCCAGCCCCAGCGGGGAGTGAATGTCTGTCCTGGCCAGCATGCGTGCAGGCTGCTGAGGATGTCCGTCGGTGATAGAGTTTATCCGTGATTGCACCAGCTGAGCCCCCACCCCAGGCCCCCTCCCCTATCATCCACTATGCATGATGAAAATTGTTTCCGTCTTCCGGTCCCTTACGTTTCACCCTCATCTCAGTGTGTTACTTCCTTGGATTTTTCCCTTGCTTTTCTCTTCTTGGACTGGATGGGGAAGTCTGACAGTTAGATAAACACCTTGCTCTGAATTAAATTCATTCCCACCACAGGGAGGCTCTGCCTGAGGAGAAGCCCGCTCAGGGAAGCCTCTGGTTCTGGGATGCACCCAGCCCTTGCCCTGCCGGGACATGAGCTCTTCACCTGAGCAGCTTGGTGCCCAGCACTGGGCTGCTGTGGGTTTCCAGTAAATACTAGCGGTGGATTCATTGACGGGCTGGTCCTTGGTTGGCAGCATAGTCCTAAAAGTTTGCTCATGTTTCTTATCTGTGTGTTTCTCATAACCTGTGTGCTGGTGGGAAGCGCGTTAAGTGTCGAGTCCAGTCTGCTATGTTGTCATTTTAAGCATCAGACACTGTGTCTTCCTTTGTCTTGGTGCTGAGTCGGCACTACTGACTGACGGGCATCTTGTGAGTTGTGATTTGTACCTGCAGTGAACTGGGCTCCCAGGATACCAGGTGCAGTTCACAGAGCGCTGCACAAAAACTTGTGACTAACGAACTGCCCCTCACCAAGCCCCGAGGGCGCCGTGGTTTGCTCTGCCAGCCCTCTCCTGTTCATTAGCTTCTCAGGCATATCCTGGTTTTGTCTGAGTAAATTCAAGAAGCACGGTGGTCACTGGCTTAGTGAAAGCCAGAGGAAGGCAAGCTGCTTGCTGGCAGAGTTCAGATTTCCAGAATGTTTCTAAGAGAATCAACCTGGAGACAGCCGAGAACAGGTTCAGAACGAGAGCCTTTATTTTATTTTATTTTTTTTGAGGCGGAGTTTCGCTCTTGTTACCCAGGCTGGAGTGCAATGGTGCGATCTCGGCTCACCGCAACCTCTGCCTCCTGGGTTCAGGCAATTCTCCTGCCTCAGCCTCCCGAGTAGCTGGGATTACAGACACGCACCACCACGCCCAGCTAATTTTTTGTATTCTTAGTAGAGACGGGGTTTCACCATGTTGACCAGGATGGTCTCGATCTCTTGACCTCGTGATCCACCCACCTTGGCCTCCCAAAGTGCTGGGATTACAGGCTTGAGCCACTGCACCCGGCCCTGAGCCTTTCTGAATATACAGCGGTGGAAAAAGGGGAAAAGCAATTGATCCTCTAAGACACTGAGGAAGCTTCTTAGAGTAGAACTCCAAAGAGAATAGGTGGCGGTGATGCTGTGAGGTGACACTGTGGTGCTAGGTGCAGGGTCGAGAATCTCAGAGCACCTTGGACGAAGCCCAGGATCTGCGCTTGTGGCCTGGGGAGCTGCCTCTTTCTCATCCGCAGCGTGGGAGCGTTTACCTTTTCAGCCAAAACATGACAACAGGCCATACAGCCAGCGTCATTCTTCCTCATATAGCTGGCTCCTTGCTGGTCAGTAAAACCACATGTATTGACACACATTCTCTCTGCTCTGAGACTTACAGATCCTTTCAACATGAGTTCTTTGGGCTTTTCTGAGTCTTCATCTTCCTAGTGCCCACACTCTGAGTCAGAATGCAGGTGGGGGGTGATGGGAGACAGCTATGCTGCGGGGTCTTCGGAGCAGGAGTTTGGGAATGGATGGAAGCATGTTCGCCAGGGGCAGTGGAGAGGCCTCAGCACTCGGCATATCCGTATTTCCTGACACTCACTCTGAGCAGCAGCAGCTGCAGCCTCGGGTGGGGACTTCTGTCTGGACTGGGGGATGTGAAGGGCAGAAGGCCCAATGTCAGACTTCTCACGTGGGCTGTCAGCACCGCAGATGACACAGTGAGGTGGACTGTCATGGGCCAGAGACCCCTCTTCTGTGTGCAGCTGTTGGACAAGCTTGGAAGGGGAGTGGTGACGGGGTGGGCTCAGCCTGTTAGTGGGTGAGGTCCTGGTTGGAAGCTTCACTGAAATATTAGTGTTGACTTTCTCAAGTCAAATCTGGTTCATTTCATGCAGCAAAAAGATGTTGGCAGGTATGAGCCTAAGTGTATTTAATATGCTGCATTTGAACATGCCTGGACTGAATGCCAGGCTGATGAGCCGGGAGAGCTCAAGGAGAAGGGAGCCTGACCCACCAGCACCAGTAGGAGGCTGGCCCTGGCTGGTCTGTGGTCAGACAGGCGGCGTCCACGTCCAGTGGGGCACTACATGATTCTCACCAGGGTGGGGCTCCCCCCTAACTTTCTTAGAGCTGATGCTCCCCTGAGCCCACTTGCATCTGCTTGAGAGGTGGAGCTGCTGGTGCGGGCAGAAAATACAAGGACCCTGCCTTTTATGGGACCCCAGACCAGGGCCCTCGGGCCGGTCTTTGCCCAGCAATGGCATCTCGGTATCATCAATTCCTGTGCCCTTTGCAGTAATGTGTGGGCACCGACTCCACCCCGACCCTTCCTTCAGGCCACTCCACTCCATTTCCTCAGCCTGACCACAATGGCCCTTGCCCTAGCACCTGGCCTCCCTCATCACCACCTAAGAGAGGCTCACTGTACCTCTGGAGGGAGCCAGGAGAGGGAGCCTGGGCTGTAGATGCAAGAACGGAGTATCAATTCCTTTACAGGACTGAGGTTCTGGCTCCCAAATTCAGAATTTTATGGCAATCCAAGACATTCGTTCATTCGTGTGCAGGAAAAAGGTATGCCGAGCCCCACCAAACCACATCTAACTCGAACTTGGGTGCTCATTTCCTGCCTCAGGAGGGAATGGATGTGGCGATGAGGTTCAGTTTTGCCAGATGGCATGGAAAGAAGGCAACGAGGATTACGTACCCAGCAGGTTCAAGGTTGCTAGATGGCATGGAACAGAGGCAACGGGGATTACATACCCAGCAGGTTCAAGGTTGCTAGATGGCAAGGAACAGAGGCAACGGGGATTAGGTACCCACCAGGATCAAAGTTCCTAGACAGCATGAAAAGGCGGCAATGGGGATTAGGTACCCACCAGGTTCGAGGTTGCTAGACGGCATGGAAAGGCGGCAATGGGGATTAGGTACCCACCAGGTTCAAGGCTGATAAATGGCATGGAACAAAGGAAATGCAGATTAGGGAGCCATCAGGTTTAAGGTTGCTAGACAGCATGGAACGGAGGCAATAGGGATTAAGTGTACCACCAGGTTCAAGGGTGCTAGATAGCATGGAACAAAGGCAGCGGGGATTAGGGCCCCACCAGGTTCAAGGTTGCTAGATGGCGTGGAATGGAGGCAACAGGAATTAGGTACCCACCATGTTCAAGATTGCTAGATGGCATGGAAAGACAGCAACGGGGATTAGGTACGCACCAGCTTCAAGGTTGCTAGATGGCATGTAATGGAAGCAACGGGGATTAGGTACCCACCAGGTTCAAGGTTGCTAGATGGCATGGAAGGATGGTAACGGGCACCCACCAGGTTTAAGATTGCTAGATGGCATGGAACGGAGGCAATGGGGATTATGTACCCACCAAGTTCAAGGTTGCTAGATGACATGGAACAGAGGCAACGTGGATTAGGGACACACCAGGTTCAAGGTTGCTAGATAGCATCAAACGGAGGCAACAAGCATTAGGGACCTACCAGGTTCAAGGTTGCTAGATGGCATGGAAAGATGGCAACAGGGATTAGGTACCCACCAGGTTTAAGTTTGCTGGATGGCATGGAACGGAGGCAACAGGGATTAGGTACCCACCAAGTTCCAGGTGGCTAGATGGCATTGAAAGACGGCAACAGGGATTAGGTTCCCACCAGCTTCAAGGTTGCTAGATGGCATGGAACGTAGCCAATGGGGATTAGGTACCCACCAGGTTTAAGGTTTCTGGATGGCATGGAACAGAGGCATGGGAATTAGGTACCCACCAGGTTCAAGATTGCTAGATGGCATGGAACGGAGGCAACAGGGATTAGATACCCACCAGTTTCAAGGTTGCTGGATGGCATGGAAAGACGGCAATGGGGATTAGGTACCCATCAGGTTGAAGGTTGCTAGAAGGCATGAAAAGAAGACCACAGAGATTAGGTACCCACCAGGTTCAAGGTTCCTAGGTGGGATGGAACAGAGGCAGCGGGGATTAGGTTCCCACCAGGTTCAAGGTTGCTAGATGGCATGAAAATACAGCAATGGAGATTAGGTACCAACCAGGTACAAGGTTGATAGATGGCATGGAAAGATGGCAATGGGAATTAGGTACCCCCCGGGTTCAAGGTTGCTAGATGGCATGAAAATACAGCAATGGAGATTAGGTACCAACCAGGTACATGGTTGCTAGATGGCATGGAAAGACGGCAATGGGGTTTAGGTACCTACCAGCTTCAAGGTTGCTAGATGGCATGGAATGGGGGAAATGGAGATTAGGGACCCACCAGGTTCAAGGTTGCTAGATGGCATGGAATGGAGGCAATGGGGATTAGGTACCCACCAGGTTCAATGTTCCTAGTTGGCATGGAACAAAGGCGACGGGAATTAGGTTCCCACCAGGTTCAAGTTTGCTAGATGGCATGGAAAGACAGCAATGGGGATTAGGTCCCCACCAGATTCAAGGTTGCTAGATGGTATGGATCAGAGGCAGCAGGGATTAGGGACCCACAAGGTTCAAGGTTGCTAGATGGGATGGAAAGAGGGCA